TTTGAAAATGGACGAGGTTTCACTATGACGTATATGGTAGGGGAGCTGGTTCCAGAACGTGGGCCCATGGAAGCAGAAGGAGCGTTCACCGATGGTCTTAGTTTTAGTTCTTGGGATTGAGAGGGTTCTACTGTCAATGGAAGAACGTAGTTGTCTTGTGGGGATGTAAGGTTAGATGTACTGCCATGCGCTGAGTCTTACATCGACCTGGTGTGGGCGCTGGTGGAATCTTAACAGATATATAATTTGTAGTTAACCTACTGCCACGTGCGTGACCTTACGATTGTGACAGAATACATATCTAGATCAGGCCTGCACAACATACGGCCCGCGGGCCGCATGTGGCCCCCAGCACCCACTTTGCGGCCCGCGAAGCAACGAAATATTTTTTTCTTATTATTATTTTATTAATAGCTTTCCCCTTGATCTATATTCTTTTGGCCCGCAGAAGTCTTGTCCTACTTCCTTTTGCCCCGCAGAAGTCTTGTCCTACTTTCTTTTGGCCCGCAGAAGTCTTGTCCTACTTTCTTTTGGCCCGCAGAAGTCTTGTCCTACTTTCTTTTGGCCCGCAGAAGTCTTGTCCTACTTTCTTTTGGCCCGCACAAGTTTTTCACAAAGTAATACGGCCCGCCTTACGTTTTGAGTTGCGCAGGCCTGATCTAGATTGTTATCTAAACTCAACCATTGAGTACCTCAGGGTCTCCATGCTTAAACATGAACGGGATATTTGCGGACATAACTATATTGAGAATTTACTGGACACCCTCGCACTCACATAGATTCAAGGCGCAAAAATATGTACTTCTCATATAAGTGAAACCCCGCAACATAACTTCAGTAATAATTCAATATTGTTATCGCCCTTGGGATACTGTTGTTGTGTCTTCTATTCGAATGCTACTTTGAAAAATCGGTAAAATACAGAGTTATCCCCCGTGTTCATTGAAGGACTGTCATACTTTGGATGGACTGTGAAACATTCGATATCCAGAAGTATCCACCATGTGCCATGTATTGCTCGTTATGTGTACTTGAATATGGTGGGTGGCCGAGTAGCCTAAACTGGGCAGATCTCAAGTTGATGGCCTGGAGTTCAATAACCACCGAAAGCCTAGTCAAGCGAAAACATCACCAGCCCCCCGGGTGGATGGCAACTCATCCAAGAGAAGGAAACTCTGAATTCAAACCCGAAGATGGAGCCCCGTAGGCTCCGACAACTCCTGCGACGCCGCTGGTGCCAAGCTGTGTCATCCACATGAATTTCCCTTGGATTTTTCAGCGGCGTGGAGAGAGGTGATTTGCTGTTGGGAGCCAGCTTGTAATCCTAGAAGAATAATCCCAGGCCTTGTGGATTGCGAAGTCTACACCATCGTCACATTGAGAAATACGGATGCAAACAACAACAAAAAAATAAATACTCAAATGTTTTGTCAGTTTAAAAGACTTATATTATATACGTATCTTTCCAGATAGTGTCTTATTCCTTCGATATTTTCTGTCACTTTCTATGCTCTAGCCATACTATTAGAACCAATAAAAAGTCAATGTTCTCAGGGTATAAAAAGCTATAGTTATCAGGACTCTTGAGTTTCTAACTAAATATTTAAAACAGATTATTTATCACCGTAACAGACTATGTTTTCGCAAGAAAACAGAGAGGTAGCATGAGTGAACAGTGAATTGTGTTGACCATGTTTTTCCACGAAGAGAGAGAGTGCATTGTATTTTTGAGAGGAAAATGTGAGCTCCACGTTTTTTGGAGAGTAAATTATGTTTGTGTCAAAGCGGTCATTTCCACGCTTTGCTGGTAATAAAAGGGGCAGTTGATTGAGAGTAGAGTTAGAGCGCAGAGCAGTAGAGAGAGTTAGAGCTGAGTTATAGTAGAGTGAGGACGTGTCTTTCTGAGTGGTGGAATACTATATATATATGTGAAATGATTACATTCATGCAAGGATTATTATTAATATTATCAGTGTATTAAAGTGTGATATAATAAAGTACTGTAAGTTTAACCAGGATTCAGTATTCTTCTTTGCGTGCCTGGATAATAAGTGGAAGAATGAAGAAGTCTTAGCCGGCATCCTGAATTATTAACATAAAACAAGTGACCATGCTACTGACATAACCCACTAAGTTACAATGATGTCAGAGTAGATGTGTTACAATCACTCGGCCACATAAATATAAAGGCAGGTAATATATGTATGAAGGAAGGTAATATATGTATGAAGGCAGGTAATATATGTATGAAGGCGAGTAATATGTTTTAAAGCAGGTAATGTATGGATGAAAGCAGGTAATGCATATATGAAGGGAGGTAATATGTATGAAGGCAAGTAATATATGTATGAGGGCAGTTAAAGTTGGTATGAAGGCGAGTAATGTATTTATGAAAGCAGGTAATGCATATCTATGAAAGCAGGTAATGTATATATGAAGGCAGGTAATATATGTACAATGCAGAACTCGCCCCTTTGTAATATTGAAGGTGGAAACATGTTCCCCTGCACTTGTCGCCTAAACCACAAAAGATGGCGCACGACTTTACTTGGATAAATTAAACAACCTTTAAATGCAAAGTTTACCGTATAAATCTATTATAAAGTTTACCGTATAAATCTATTATAAAGTTTACCGTATAAATCTATTATAAAGTTTACCGTATAAATATATTATAAAGTTTACTATCAAGAAATTGAGGGCTGAGAATTTGACAAAGCATGCATACAAGAAAAGCACTTCATAAGAATCCAAATTTCGCTCCCCCACTCCCCCCCCCTCCCTACAGGCTCGCAACCATATTTTTTCACGCCCCTGAAGTGTATTAATATTCTGATGTCCCACCCGCTTTTGCACAGCAGATTTATTTCAGCAAACATTTCAGAAAAAAAATGTAACGGACCAAACATACATGCGACTATTTAAAACTAAAATCATTTAGCACAGTTATCAGCAATTCCATTTTGTCCTCTCCTTGAAAAACAGGAGAAATCAATTTTCGGAGGGATGGGGGTTGGCGCTCAAAATTTGATAAGATGTATTGTCATCGGCAACGAGACTATGTACCAAGGAGGCATGCCAGTTGCACAAGTTTACTGTATATTTTAAGTAGTGTTGATTCATTCAAACTTTTTTTGTTCCCGGATCTTTTCTATTTGGCGGTTTACATTTCAGAAATGGAGCTGTATACAGGGATAGCGACCGGGGCGTAGCTAAAGTGTTTGGCGCCACGGGACAAGATTCATTTTAAAGCGCCTCCCTTTCTTCTCTTTTTTTCAACTCACAAACCCATTATTTTCATCAATTAAAAAAATTATATCAAAGCACATGTTGGTGCCCCTGGCTAGTCTGGCGCCCAGGGACATCTGTCCCCCCTGCTCACCCCCCAAGCTACACCTCTGGATAGCGATGTCCATGCCCCTTTTTGAACACCCCCCCCCCCCCCTGAAATTTTAAGCATCATACCGCTTCGTTAGGACACCGTGAATAAAAATGAATGCAAGAACCATTCTCAACACATTACCAGAAACAATAAGACAGATCAGAGACACAGGTACTTGGAATCGATTTATTTCAACAACGGAATTGATCGATTTAAAAAAAAAGGTAGTTCACCATTCATTGTCCATGCTGCAGGCACTGAACGATACGGTTAAGATGTATAATTCATGTAACATTCTATACCTCTCAGTGGCGCCAAAGAACTCAATGAATTGAGGCTATATATAACCCCTAAAGATTCGTGCTGCCATACAGCGGCGCAGTGCACCCTGACCGTCACTGTACACCGAGTCCATTGATAAGTTCAAATTTGTACAAGCCCTCGCTTGGCATTCATTGGAGCGTATCCAACTCGTATTACTTATACGCCCCTGTCAAAATAAGCGTAACTTACAGGCAGAATACATTTTTAAAACAAATATTTAAAGCTGGTAGTTAAAGTTAAATGTAAGGGATTTGATTACATCGCAAGTAACCCCCCCCCACCCTTTTTTTTACCCCAACATCTTTTTTTCCAGATTAAAAAAAAAAAATGCGACTGATTGCTTGAAATTTTTAAAACAAATATTTAAAGCTGGTAGTTAAAGTTAAATGTAAGGGATTTGATTACATCGCAAGTAACCCCCCCCCCCCCCTTTTTTTTACCCCAACATCTTTTTTTCCAGATTAAAAAAAAAAAAATGCGACTGATTGCTTGAAAGGGTTGTAATTTCCTGAAAAAAAGAAGAAATTATTAGCCTCATTATTAGCCCAATTTAATTGACTGAAATGTATGCGTGATACTAATATTTTTAACTTTAACTTTTTAAAACTAAAACAATCGGTTCATTTTCTGAAAAATCACCATTATCCTCGCTGGAAATAACAATATGAACGAATTCTACGCACACCGCACATATTTTATTTGTAGCGGAAAATACTTGAATAAATGATAACATTAAAAAAAAAAATGACGACATTTTCATACACCATAAACTGAATAGCATTTCGAAGGTGAGTAAGGCTGATGAGATGATCGGTTTCGTGTTTCATAAATGTCACTGCCAGCCAGGCAGCCTCACGTCGGCCAGGTGGGTCGGATTGAGGACATTAGTAGGGCCGGATCTGGCCTGCGGGCCGTAGCTCGAGGACGTCTTGTCCATCTTGGGCTAGATATCAATTCCTACGTCTTGTCCATCTTAGTCTAGACATCAATGTCTACGTCATGTCCATCTTAGTCTAGACATCAATGCCTACGTCTTGTCCATCTTAGGCTAGACATCAATGCCTACGTCTTGTCCATCTTAGTCTAGATAACAATGCCTACATCTTGTCCATCTTAGTCTAGGTAACAATGCCTACGTCTTGTCCATCTTCTATTGTCCAACTTACGGCCCCCCTACACCCCCCTCCACCCTATACTTAGTAAGCGACGCTCCTTTTACCTGCCAGGTTACGCCCACGTATTTGTTGACACGGCTGAGAAATTTGAGGGGGGGGGGTAAGTGGTGGGGATGTAGCTGGTAGAACGTACCGCTTGTGCCCGTTGAAGGGAAATTGTTTTTCCCGTTTCACTGAGGTTACTTCGTTATTTTGTTCTGTGTGAAAGTGGGGGACAAACATTTCAGTGGGATTTAACTTGTACATCAGGTTAGTTGTTTTCATAGGGACCGTATGTTTTTAATATATATTTTAAAAAAAAAACAGCTTTGAGTCATTCAGACTTTTGTTTTTTTAATTTTATGATCGTTTCTATTTGGAGAATTACATTGTAGAAATGGAGCTGTAAGCAAGTATTGCAAGGATAGCGAGGTCCATATCTTTTTAAAAGCTACATTTAACATGAGCGAATAGTTACGAAAAATGCTAAAGAAAAACGTGTTTATGAAGTAAAGAAAAAATCAATAAAAGCTCCCCATAATAAGCTCCATATAATAAGCTCGACATAAGAAGTACCACATAATAAGCTCCATATAATAAGCTCGACATAAGAAGTACCACATAATAAGGACCACATAATAAGCTCTACATAATAAGCTCCACAAGATAAGCTTCATATAATAATATCCACATTATAAGCTCCGTATGATAAGCACCATATTATGACCCCCACACAATAACCTCTACGTAATAAGCTCCATATTATAAGCTCCATAAAAACCTCCATATAATAAGCTCCTTTAGAACAGTGGTCCCCAAGTGGCGGACCGTGGACCTTCACCGGTCCGCATGCCTAGCGCTGCCGGTCCCCATAACATAAATATTTATTGTCAAATAGAAATAAAGGTATAAAAATAAATCATGCACCGGTCCATGGTAAAATTTCGAAACTTGTTCACCGGTCCACCAAATTTACAAGTTTGGGAACCACTGCTTTAGAATAAGCATGCGATTTAAGTGACATGTTTATTAAAAACATCAACGTACAAGTGTCATGAAGGAGGAAAAAGACATCTAACTTGACGGCATTTGTTTCAGTGTCATCTCAGGTCAATAGTTTAAGTCATGTCAATAGTTTAAGTCATGTCAGTAGTTTAAATCTTGTCAGTAAATTAAGTCATGTCAGTAGTTTAAGTCATGTCAGTAGTTTAAGTCATGTCAGTAGTTTAAATCTTGTCAGTAAATTAAGTCATGTCAGTAGTTTAAGTCATGTCAGTAGTTTAAGTCATGTCAGTAACTTAAGTCATGTCAATAGTTTAAGTCATGTCAGTAGTTTGAATCTTGTCAGTAAATTAAGTCATGTCAGTAGTTTAAGTCATGTCAGTAGTTTAAGTCATGTCAGTAGTTTAAGTCATGTCAGTAACTTAAGTCATGTCAGTAGTTTAAATCTTGTCAGTAAATTAAGTCATGTCAATAGTTTAAGTCATGTCAGTAGTTTAAGTCATGTCAGTAGCTTAAGTCATGTCAATAGTTTAAGTCATGTCAGTAGTTTGAATCTTGTCAGTAAATTAAGTCATGTCAGTAGTTTAAGTCATGTCAGTAACTTAAGTCATGTCAATAGTTTAAGTCATGTCAGTGTTTCTGTGTGATCTCTGGTGAAGACGTCAATAGTTTAAGTCATCTCAGTAATTTAAGTCATGTCAGTGTTTCTGTGTGATCTCTGATGAAGAAGTCAATAGTTTAAGTCATTTCAGTAGTTTAAGTCAGTAGTTTAAGTCAAGCCAGTAGTTTAATTCATGTCAGTAGTTTAAGTCATGTCAGTGGTTTAAGTCATGTCAGTAGTTTAAGCCATTTCAGTAAATTAAGTCACGTCAGTAGTTTAAGTCATGTCAGTGGTTTAAGTCGTGTCATTAGTTTAAGTCATTTCAGTAAATTAAGTCACGTCAGTAGTTTAAGTCATGTCAGTGTTCCCGTCTGATCTCTGATGAAGAAGTCAATGACCATCTTGTCTCCAACAATCCTACTGCAAAATTTTGTCTTCTAGGCGTGAAGAAATGGTATAGTAAAAATTGCACCCTCTCCCCTCACAGACACACACATGTACGTTCACAAGACTCCAGGCCCCGCCACAACCAAGGGAGTTAAAAATAAAATCAAAAAGTTTACAAAATTTAAGTTTTTAAAAAAATAAAAAAAAAAGTAATCGCTTGAGTTTGGTACAATTTGCGATATTCAGTAATTTTCGGGATTTTTGACAAAAAGATATACTTGAATCCGTTTCTTAAACCAGTTATAACCGGTACCGAGTCAGTGTTACAGTGTTAAGGGTAGAAGTTCCAATCGTAACAATGATCAGTGACGACACGACTGAAAGACTTAACACCGGTTCTCACAGTTGATGAAATGGTCGTTGCTTTACTTTATTCAATAGAGTTTTTCGAGGACACATCTTTTTTTTTTTTTTTCAAATAAGATTTTTACGAATTCAAAATAGTACTATAATATCTATAGGACCACGTCTCAGGTGTCCGAATGTGTCCGAATAGGTTCAGTGTGTCCGCATATTTTTTCAAGGAGCAAGAGTCTTTTCAGTGAATTCCTTTATACGCTAATTAATGTTTACAATCTTTTGAGTGTATTCAAGCGTTCAAATTTATTTTACACCGAGTGCGTTGTTACAGGCTAGTTTCAAGTGCGAATATATTTATGTATACGTATGTTACAAAGGGTTGAAATAGACTAAATGGGTTGGAATATAGTCAGAGGATTGGAATGTGTTCAGATTATTGGAATATAGTCAGATTATTGAAATATAGTCATAAGATTGCAATATAGTCAGAAGGTTGGAATATAGTCAGAGAATTGGAATGTGTTCAGAAGATTGGAATATAGTCAGGAGATTGGAATATAATCAGAAGATTGGAATATAATCAGAGAATTGGAATGCGGTCAGATGATTAAAATATACTCAGAAGATTGCAATATAGCACTATGATTTAATTATAGTCAAAGGATTGTTATGTGATCATATGATTGGAATGTAGTCAGAGGATTGGAATATAGTTAGATGATTTGGATATATTCAGATGATTGGAATATGTTCAGTCGATTGGAATATAGTCAAGTAATTGGAATATAGTCAGAGGGTGCGAATATAGTCAGATGATTGGAATATAACCAGAGAATTGGAATGTTGTCAGTGGATTGTAATATAGTCAGAGGGTTGAAATATGCTAAATGGTTTGGAATATGATCAGTGGGTTGGGATATGATCAATGGGTTGGGATATGATCAATGGATTGGATATGATCAATGGGTTGGGATATGATCAATGGGTTGGGATATGATCAATGGGTTGGGATATGATCAATGGGTTGGGATATGATCCAGTGGTTTGGATTTATTTCCATAGTTTTTCAGAATCAAGTTTCCGTCAGCTTTGCATTACTTCAAAGGTTATAAAATCAATTGAAATTAACTTCAAGTGACTGTTCAATATACACTGTAAATGATCCCCTATCATTGTCATAGACCCGCTAGGCACAATATAAAAAAAAATGTATAGACTAATTGGGATAGTATTTAGAAATACAATAAAATGCACGAATGTAGGACTGGCGTACTTGCTCATAGTGATTTGTACATTTCGAAAACTTACAGTGATTATTTAAGGGCGTTTGTAAAAGGAACATAAGAGGAGGCAGCAGAGAAATCGGCGAATGGGAGAGCATCGCTTATCACCTTTCCAGCTGGTTAACAGCCGTGTATTAAAGAGTAAACAGCTGTATATTAGGGAGTCAAACAGCTGTATGTAAGGGTATGAAACATACAACATTGAGGAAGGCAAAAGTTATACAGAAGTCGAGGTTCTCCTGTGAGAGGAGACCACCCGAGATTGCCATTCCAGGATCGGCCTCGTGAGCCATATGACGAGGTGCCAGTAAGCTACTCCATCGTATCAGGGTATTAATGGGAGAGACTGCAACCAGGTTAGCACAATATTAAAAGGAGAAAAACAGAGTAGGGTTAAACTTCGTATCACGAGGACTTAAGGATGCCATGTAAAATTTTCTTGAATTTTTTACGACACGTGCTTTTACTCTACATTTTTTAGAGCTTGAAATTTAAAGGTACTTTCTTTTGGATTTATTTCTCCCCCTTCCTAACTCCCCCCCCCCCCCCGACACGTGCTTTTACTCTACATTTTTTAGAGCTTGAAATTTAAAGGTACTTTCTTTTGGATTTATTCCCCCCCCCCCCAACCACACCACCCCTCCCCCCCGTGGCTATCAGACTCAGATTCATATTCACACACCTGACCAGCTCAATGTATCTTAACTTTATACTAACTGTTGCAGAAAAGACTCTGCACATTGAAGTATGCACTTTAACCCACTGCGCAGATAGGCACCGCTTAAATGCGCTCTTTTCAATTTCACACCGTTTCACTGCATTTAACCCCCGTCCGCCATGCTTCGTACTCGATTACCTCGTTGTTTTATAATAGAATACTATCCACCCTACTTATAAATCGATCCTACTCTTCTCCACCCTACGTGGTATTCGATACCACTGTCAGACCTATTACATGTACAAACACTCTCCCCTCCGTACTTGGTACTCGATTCCCGCTAGGTATTACGTTACAGAAAAAAAAATGGTACCGGTTTTTGGTGATGCACGGTATTTCGAAAATCAATATTTTATATTTGCAGTGTCTGCCCTAAATCAACTGGAGGTAATCTATCGTGACAAACCAGGCATCCTGAACACAAGGTTCCACTTCCACGTTAAATCCGCAACACAGTCACATATGTACATGACTGAGCATGTTTACCTCACACATACAGATCTTCCAACATACATTCGGCGCATACAAGAAACACCCACTGTGTGTATTACATACGTGTATGTCCTTGTGCATAACTATGCGGATCCTGTTACGTCAATATTTTTTTTCACTACACGCATCAACGACAAACAGTTATAGAAACACCCTTATTATACACCAAGATCTTGAATCCACTCATCCACAGTATAGTGCACTTATCCACAGTATAGTGCACTTATCCACAGTATAGTGCACTTATCCAAGGTATAATCCATTCATCCACAGTATGATCCACTCACAAATTTCATGTCCACTCACACACATCAAGTCCACTCACACATCTCAAGTCCACTCACACACATCACGTCCACTCACACACATCACGCCCACCCACAAAGATCATGTCCACTCACACACATCAAGTCCACTCACACATCTCATATCTACTCACACAGCTCTTTTCCACTCACATACATCACGTCCACTCACAAAGATCACGTCCACTCACACAGCTCATGTCCACTCATACATATCCCGTCCACTCACACATATCACGTCCACTCAAAAAGATCATGTCCACTCACACAGCTCATGTCCACTCACACATATCCCGTCCACTCACACAGCTCATGTCCACTCACACATATCCCGTCCACTCACACATATCCCGTCCACTCACACATATCCCGTCCACTCACACATATCCCGTCCACTCACACATATCCCGTCCACTCACACATATCCCGTCCACTCACACATATCCCGTCCACTCACACAGATCACGTCCGACACACAGATCACGTCCACACAGAACATAATTTAATTCACCCACAGCAACCGTTGCAACCCGCAAGTCCTCATTGTGTCGACCATGCGTAAATTAATACGAACATTTCTATATTCATATCTATACATATACGCCCATCATTGTTTTATCTGCTCAATCTATATTAAGATCATTACAAATTGTAACGATTCAACAATACAAAGCAAATATCGATTCCGTTTCAATCCATGAAAACAATATGTTTAAAGACGCTGTTCAATGTATCGATTCACTTGATGCATTAGTTGCATATGTTTATTCCAGCTTTGATGTTAAGCTTGGGGTTACAACTTTGTGTCAGAGCCGTTTCACGACTTTTGGTGGGACCCCACCCCCCACCACCACTCTGCCATTTTTCGGTTTTATGCCCCTTGCAAACAAGGTTGATGGTTTTATTTTGTCCACATCTCAATCTTGCCCATCCCCTTAATTTCTACATCACAATATCTCTCCCCCCCCCCCGTTAATATCCGAAGGCTAACGCAACGCCCCTGCTTGGTAGAGTCAAATAATTAACCAACAATGGGTCGATGTCAGCTTAACCAACAATGGGTCGATGTCAACAGAATTCACGCACCATCAGCTCTGTTGTGTCATACCAAGCATGACGTATTACTGAGACGTTCTTGTGGATCAATTTAAAAAAAAATTGAGTTTTACTGTCAGTGGATTAAGTGGTGGTTACTGGACACTATTCAATTGGCGGTCTCATCAACTCCACACAGCAATGTCAGTGACATCTAAATTATCTTGAGAAATAACTATGTCCTCTCCACACAGCAATGTCAGTGACATCTAAATTATCTGTAAAAATAACTCTGTCAACTCCACACAGAAATGTCAGTGAGATCTAAATTATCTGTAAAAATAACTCCATCTGCTGTGACTGCTAGTGAAAACTACCTTCCCAAGTAATAAATTAAAAAAAAAAAAGCAGTTTAAATCATGGTAATACCCATCTTATTGTCAGCCGCCAATAGTGTAGACTCTTTTCAACACTGACCCCGTTTCAACAACTCAACCGTAAACAACCCCTGCAACAACGATTCTATTTATATTTCATACACCATTTCGGTCCTCTCCCTCTCCCACCATCCCTCTCTCCCACTCCTTCTCTTTCTCTCTTCCACTCTCAAACTCTCACACTCTTTCTCTCTCTCTCCCACAACATATTTTCTCTCTATCACTCTCCAACTCTCACACTCCCCTCTCTCCTACTCCTTCTGTTCCACTCTCCCTCTCTCCCACCCTCTCTTTTTCTCTTCCACTCGCAAACTCTCTCACTCATCTCTCTCCCAATCCCCACTCACCCTCTCTTCCCCTCTCCCCCTTTCTCTCTCCACCACTCCTCCTCCTCCTTACTCTTATTCTCTTCACCTCCTCTCTTACACACTCCCTATCTTCCACTTTCACTTTTCCTATGTTCCACTCTCCAACTTTCCCTCTCTCCCACTCTTCCTCTCCCTCTCTAACACTCTCCCTCTCTTCCGCTCTTCCACTCTCCAAATCAATCTCTTCCCACTCTCGTGTTTCATGTAAATATATCCGTTCGCATCGCCACGCGTTTCCCATACGAGGACCACCATCAAAAGTTCCTCTCTCCACCTGTGCCACGCAGAGTTTCATACCTTCACGAAGTCCCATTGCTCTGTGCTCCCATAGTGTTTGACTAATGATGTCACGAGCCTAAACTGAAAGAGTAAATTAAAGTAACTAGCGGACCATCATTTTTTATTTTAGTTCAGTGGTTCTCAGTTCACAACTGGTATGCGTGTCTCAACAGTACAGTTATAAAAGATATATTTACGAAGCTGGAGATCTGCACAATAGCAAACCATTTGCATTCTCGTTTTTAGGTATAATGTGATTTGTAAAAAAAATTAGGCTGTGGCCGGCTTGTAACATTATTAGGAAGAATGAAACTGGAGGACTTACTTGTTACAGGTCTCTGGACTAGCCAAGTGAAGTGGGTATAGAAGTAGATTTAGTGTCCGCGGATAGAACTTGTGGACCGCTGCTGGGCTAAGCAAACGTCTACACCTTCCTCCCGCGTTTTGATGTGACACCAATGAAAAGGGAATGTGGGGGGGAGAGAGGGAAAAAAGAGATAGAGAAAGTACATTCGTATTTATAGAAGTAAATTTTATCATAACTTTATGTTAATTAGAAATCATTTTTTTTTTCAAAAATATAATAATCTCTTTTTCTCTCTCTCTCCCTCCGTCTCTCTCTCTCTCTCTCGTTCTTTCTCTTTCTTTCTCTCTCTCTATCTCTCTCTATCAATCAATCTATCTATCTCTATCTTATCTTTATGTTAACTAATAAGTATCTGAAACGATACTAATGATTTCACAAAACAGAAGTCAGAATCCAGGATTACTATCGCCCCTAAAGCGAGCAGTGGGAGAATCAAATGTGACAACGGTCCACCTCTCTTCTGACTTTTCTATCGCATCACAACAAACTTTTAAAATGAATTTTACAAACCAATATTGCTTAGATTATCAGTAATCTTTTCATAACATTTTTTTTTTCTTTTTATATTCTTCTATTTCAGCCTGTAAAAGACGTTGCCGCAGCTTTGGTCCAACATGACGAGATTATGGCTGCTGGTAGCCTTTCTGGCAACAACACTGTGCCATTTGTAAGCCAAAATTTTGTTTTTAAAAACTTAATACCGCTTGGCTTAAAGTTTGAAAAGTTTAGTGAGTCTGCCGTGAGTCTGCGAGTTACCCTTCAGTTGTACACTGATTCTCAAAGGTTGATTGAAAAGCTAAACCAGAATCTGGAGGGTAAGAGGTTGAGTCACCAACTAAGAGGCTGACTGAATTTCGGTTTCGGTGCCGAAAGTTGCAATTTGATCACTTGCGGCATAGTTTAGGTATCGGCCAAGCTGGAAAGTTAAGTCTCGGTTAATCTTCTGTTTCTGCCGAAAGTAATAGAGGCTTCCAGGCGTCTACCAGAAGTCAGACTGTCATCTTGTTTGTCCGTCTTCCGGCAATCCGATATTCATTATTGCTTGACGTCTGGCGGTCGTCGTATGATGTATAACTAATCTTCTGCGAACGCTGCTGACAGCTGCGTGATGACCTACTTGTCCAATATTCCCAAAAATAAAATTTCAATTAGGCTTCGGAAAAAGTAAATAGTTTTGTTGAAAAAAAACTACAGGAATGCTTATACTTATATTATTATTTATGTTTCATTTTTTTAAACAAATAAAATATTTAAAAAATTGGGACCCCTTTGTTTATTCAATCAATTCATTTGCGACGTTCCTTTTGATTTATCATTATCATGCTCATATATTTTACCATAGGCACGGGTGAATAACTTTGTGAGAAAAAAATACTAGGGTTTTGTAACTTTTCCGTTATTTTAAAGTTAAAAAAAATAAAACTTTAAGACATTTTCAAAAAAAATGTACGGATAAGCGGAACAACGAGTTCCTTCATGGAATACGTCTGGATATTTTGTTGGGCCATACCATTAAACAATAATTAGGCTAAGATTTCGATCGATGGCGTTGTTCGCTAATTACGACACGCCTTCCCCCCCCCCCACAGCCCAACACCGTAAAAAAATTGACTTATTATACTACTTCAAAATTTTAACAACTTTAAATGACTTTTTAGTTCAAAAGGTAAAAGACAAAGTATTGTTTAGATATTTATATATTAACATTTTCTGTAACATCATTTTTGATATAGCTATATAAATGTCGATGCCCCCCTTCCCCCCCCCCCCCCCCACCCCCCAATCTCTTCATTTTTCGACGTGCACAGAACATATGCGCAAGCGAGTTTCGAAATATCTAAATCTTTAAGTTTTGGTTTGGGCCAAAACTCCCGTTGAGCTATTGGCTTCGGCTTCGTTTTGGCTAAAATTCGTTTTAAACTTTTGGGTTTGTTTCGGTTTTGGCCGAAACCAGAAAAAATACGCTCGATCGATCTCTAGCACCAAAGCCAATTTCTTGTCGGAAATGCTCAGCTTCGAAACATCTAAATCTTTCGGTTTCTGATGAAAGTCTTGTTAAGCTTTTGATTTCGGCTTCGTTGTGGGCTGAAACTTATTTTAAACTTTCAGTATTGTTTCGATTGCGACCAAAACCATAAAATTACATTCGTTTGGTCGCTAGCACTTACATTAATTTCAATACCAGCAGTCGAACTTTCTTAGATTGCGATCGATGCAGTAAAGTCCTAGTTATACACCTCTTCCCATCCCAGGGTGGCGTTTTACGCCCTCCTAAAAGGGTTTCTACAATTGATTTCTAACTCGAAAAAATGGAAATGAAATATTGATTTTAAATATCTTTAAACTAACACAAAATCCAAGGTTCTCATGTTGTTGTTGCTTTTTTTTTTGTTACCCCCTCCCCAGCACCACTTTGGCCCAAAAGATTCCAGAAGATGTGACTTCACAAACAACAACTCCTGCCCCAAAGAAGAACGCCACCTACTGGGTAACTTTCAGCAATAAAATCCGGCCCGGCCGGCGTCTGGAGCTGAAGGTCAACATCCTGAAAGGAGTGGACCCCGTCCTCATCACGTTCACCGTTTTGTCCAGCGACAAAAATAAAACATTTTTGGAAGCGCCTCCGACAAGTGTCCAGCCAGGAGGTGAGACCCGCATTCGTTATTGCTCACTTTATGGTCCAGACACAATCCACTTTATGGGTCCAGACACAATCCACTTTATGGGTCCGGACACCATCCACTTTATGGGTCCAGACACAATCCACTTGATGGGTCCAGGCACAATCCACTTGATGGGTCCAGACACAATCTACTTTATGGGTCCAGACACAATCCACTTTATGGGTCCAGACACAATCCACTTTATGGGTCCAGACACAATCCACTTTATGAGTTCAGACACAATCCACTTTATGAGTCCAGACACGATCCATTTTATGAGTCCAGACACAATCCACTTTATGACGGCTTATGTTGTATCGAGGATCTGATTTATTTTTATAAAGTTTAAAAAAAACAAATTTAGTTTAAAATTTAAAATATACCATGGACTTTCTTTTTTTTTGTCCTTTGTTTATTTAAACATTTTATATCCTTAGTGCCTAAAAAGCCGAGATTCCATCAAGTAACATGTCACGTTTTGATTTTGTTTTTAACTGTCCAGTATTATTAATTAATTGAATTGATTACTCTCGGTATCACAATCTCATTATGTGATTTATCAGATCTCATTATCCATGATCTATTAATTTTCTTTTTAATTATTAAGTATGTATTGCAGGAAAACTTAAATTTCTGTTAAATTAACTAAATATTGCATTTTACTTTTTTTCAGGAGTTCGGACCATTTCTATTGATGTAAGTATGAGGTCCAGAGGTCCCCAAACTTTTTTGTCTCGTAGACCACTTGCCAGGTTTTTTTCGGTTTTGGGTCGACCCCCTGCTTATCTGATATTGATTTTTTTTCCCCTCTGACATGGACCCTTTGCAAGTTGTCGTCGATCCTCCTGGGCGATATAGACCACTTTGGGAACCTCTGATTACACAGACAGACGTGTGTTTATATACATATGTGGTTCATGTTCACGTAACTAGCAGGGAACAAGATCATTTACGGATGAGAGTGTATAGCATGGAAACATTTACGCAGCGTTCATGAGTTGTTTCTCTGTTAACACTAACCAAGTCCTTAAACTATGGGATGTTTCACATGCCACTGAGTTCCTAACTGAATGGAACCGATGGTTTCTCTCGTGCGATTTGACGCTTGGGCCAAACTACTGATTTCCATAACTCAATGTCTGCAGACAATTTTTCATCATTTTCACGAAACATGTCTGTGTTAGTTTTTGGCCCAATGTTTTGTAGTTGTTTAGGGCATTCGTTCCCTGGCCATCCTTTCTCCTCACTCATGGCGGGCCGCCGGGACACCGATCAAAATCCCTGCGGTCCGCCCAGGGCCAGTGAAATTAAACCTCTGCTTCCAGATTTTTGAAACTTCAATGCACGAACATTTTCGAAATTAGCCTAGACCAATGGCTGGCAAATCGCGACCTGTGTGCAGCTCGGCCAGTCGGCCAAAATTTGGTTTTGACTTCGAAAAACATGGTTCTTGACAGGTGCTTGAAAAGGAATTGGGCGCTCAAAAAATAATTAATTGTCCCGTCGCTGATTGTTGGCTTTTTTTGACTAATGTAATTGCCAACCACCGGCCTAGATTCTTGAAAACTAAAATGTACTAATTGAATTAGATAAACGTAATACTACAAATATGGAAGAGCTCATTTGTTTATAGGCCCTTTAGTATAATTTTAATGGTACGTTGCTAGTTCTAGTCTTTCTGTAGATCTAACAAAGTCTTGCAGGAATGTGTGTAGAATAAACATTCATGATCATCATTATCATGTCCCTTACTCCTTGGACCTTTGGGGCGTCACAGATAAACATGCAAACATTCATGATCATCATCATCATGTCCCTTACTCCTTGGACCTTTGGGGCGTCACAGATAAACATGCAAACATTCATGATCATCATCATCATGTCCCTTACTCCTTGGACCTTTGGGGCGTCACAGATAAACATGCAAACATTCATGATCATCATCATCATGTCCCTTACTCCTTGGACCTTTGGGGCGTCACAGATTAACATGCAAACTATCATAAATTCGTCTCTGTCTTCTGCACTTCGCAAAGCATCGCCAAGTTTTAGTCCCATCCACTCTTCCCATCTTTTCCAATGTCTTCCTCTTCTTCTCCCTCCTCTCGTTGTGCCCTTCATGATTTCTTTGGCGAGCCTTTGTTTCCTTGTCACGTGCCCGTACCATCCCAGTTTGCATTTCTTTACAGTCACCAGGAGGTCATGGTACTGCCCATTGGCCTGACGAATCCTTTCTTCCAATTGATCATTGGAGATATGGTATCTATACAAGATGCCAAGAATGCTGCTCAAACATCTCGTCTCCATCGCCGTTATTTTCCTTTCAAGTTCTCCTGTTAATGTCCAGGACTCGGAGGCATACAAGAAAATGGAGAGGACTAAAGAGCGCAATTCCTGATTTTGGTGCTGGGGGCTATATTTTAGTCGTTCCATATTTTCTTGAGTCTCTTTAGTGCTGTTGTGGCCTGGGCAATCCTGGACATTAACTGTTGTTCAATAAAAAGGACAAAGACACAAGTTTTACTGTACCCATGTTTGTTGTCGGGGTGCGGGTGTTGCTTGGAAATGTGTTTAAATCAAGGGTGATCAATGGAAATGTTATAACTTTAAGGGTCTTAAGGGTAGTAACTCTGATTGGGTGGCAAACCTATGGGTAGTATCTCTGATTTGGTGGCAGTCCTAGGGGTAGTACCTCTGATTGGGTGGCAGACCTAGGGGTATTAGCTCTGATTGGGCGGTAGTCCTAGGGGTAGTACCTCTGATTGGGTGGCAGACCTAGGGGTAGTACCTCTGATTGGGTGGGAGAACTAGGGGTAGTACCTCTGATTGGGTGGTGGTCCTGTCCTTTTGGAGTAGCTATTCAATCTGTAGCATGCACAGCTGCCACACTAACCGTGATAATTAATGCTTTGCGTTGGGTACAATTGTATACACACGATTAGCCTTTGATGAACGAAATAAAATGCTGAATGAATATTTTCCATTCCTTACGTGTGTTGGGCATTTTTTTTATTTGAAATGAATTTTTATATTTCAGATTCCCAAGAATATCAAGAAGCCATCAGACGAAAATACGTGGTACAATCAGTACTTGGTTCGGGTCAAAGGTCAAGGCAACACAGTAAACTTTGAGGAAGAGACGTATGTCACCTACGACGAAAAAGCGTTCTCAATATTCGTTCAAACGGACAAGTCTGTCTACAAACCCGCCCAAACTGGTAGGAAAATCTTGAGCGTTATTGATATTGCGCTTATTCTTATACATGAAAACCAGGGGAGATAAAGCAGCTGAAATATTAGTGGGGGATTCTCTGGTTTTGAGACGAGCATTTGACTCCACGATAAACTCAGCGGGAAAAAAAACATTTTACATTTCAAATCTTTTAGCACAACGGAAGGAAAGATACTGATAATCTACAGGGTGCAAATTTTGCAGAGCATCTTGACTCTTGATGCACAGTGACCTGTCACCTCAACGTTCCCGAAATATAATATGCAGCTGGGTTCAGTTACGTAGCTGACGGCAGAGAAACACAGAGACAAACACTGTTAACTTTTTGTACAGTTATTTAATTGACGGAAAAGAAACTCACAAACACCCTTAGCTTGCTGTAACGTTATTTAGTTTATATTTATGACATTCTCTGTCACCGTAGAACTTTACAACAATATTTACAAACGCCCGCTCCCCCCGACCCCCAAGCTCCGCATGTTTTCCTATAGCCTCTGTGTAATTCTCTAGTATGTTGAATTCTTGGAGCTGGAGTGAAGAAAGTCTGGCTCATTATTGTATCAATGTTCGGCGAGTTATTAAATCCATAACATTCTAACTAAGTTGTACAAACAAGACACACATTTTCAGCATTACTATTATTTTTCTTATATTGTTTACAGTAAAAATCAGGGTCCTGGCGATGACCTCCGACCTGAAGGTCCTCAGAAATGAATCAAAGGACATCTACATCACGGTAAGTGGGGGCATGGACACCGGGGGCTGTCACGTTATTGGACCTCTGCGTTAACGTCCGACCAAACACTTACGGTCACCGGCGTAGATAGGGTGGGCCGCGGGGGGGGGGTGGGGATAAAGGAGGAAAAAAAAGGGGTGGGGTCTGCGACGGGAGAAGATTTTGTATTTTGAAGGGCGGGGGGGGGGGGGGGGGGGGGGGGGGGGGGGGGGGGGGGGGGGGGGGTGGGGATAAAGGAGGAAAAAAAAGGGGTGGGGTCTGCGACGGGAGAACATTTTGTATTTTGAAGGGCGGCATTTTCTACCAACGACAGAGTTTTATCGTTAGGGGAGTGGGAGGCAAACATGTTGTCTCCCCAGTGTGGCTACTAGTCCTTGCTACACCACTGCTTTCAGTACACTTTGATACATTCCCTATTATCTAATTTCTAAAAAAAGGGCCTCCAAATCCCGTACAAACGACAATCAAAATAAAGATATTATGACCTGTGCCCCCAGGGTTGTCAAGTCAAGGTAATATTTGCAATATCTCAGTGTAAATCGTATATTAATATAATTAGAGATGTGGGTTTTTTTCTTTCCTAAAACCAGTTATCGGTATTAGGAATCTCCTTTTAATCTTGTTAAATGTCTTTTGGAATGCATTCCCGGCGGGCAAACGTTCTGTACAGCAAAGATCACGCGAGAAATATTTGATTATAAGCCTACCCATTTCATACAATAGCTCTATGATTATAATGATTTAACTTTTGTAATATTTTTTTTTAAAAAAGCTTAATAAAAATTATTATTCAAATTATCAAAAAATCTCAGGGGGGCATTATCTCTTGTATTTCTATGATATTTCCAACAGCTGCATTAAACATTTTTTCATTCATAGATTAAAAAATATGTGTTGATTTTTTAAAGTATAGATATATATATATTTTTTTAAATCAAGGGAACATGTGAAGACGTTTACATTTTAATTAGTTGTAATTATTTCCCATTGCAATCTTTTATTATTTAAGTACGA